GCCTTCCCATGTCCGCGTCTTACCATGCAAATTAATGCACTGTGCGATGGTATGTGACGAGTCACTGTGCATGTGTGCATGTGTGTGTGTCTCTGTGTGTGTATGTGTGTGTGTGCATGTCTTAAGTTTGGCAGGCCATGCCAAGTTGGCTGCCAGTTTTTCTGCCAATGAAATTTTGCTGATTAGAGTACACTCACACATACAGCTGCATATTTGCATTTAGTTCATGTGTGTGTGTGTGTATGTATGTGTATGCAGATTGGCACATGAGCGCTTTGACTATTTTTGTAATTGCATGTGTGAGTGTTTCTTTGTGTTTGATTTAAAGTCGACTTTTTTGCTACTACCTAAAATCTGACTATTTGTATACCCTGTAAATGCATGCGCGCATGAGTGGATGCATTGGAATACTAAGGATCTGACTTGCTGTGCTATTGCCATCTGACTGTCTCCCTTACTAGCTCCATCAGTTTAAGAGCAACAAATATTACTGCCTCATCACATGCTAATTGCTTCTTTAATAAATTGCCCTAACAAGCATTTGTTCTCTACTTCTCAGTAAGCAAGAGCCATTACGTATGCGCATTAATTATTAAATTAGCTTTGAACTGAAACGTATTAAGTATACGCCTTACTTATGTTATGCTTAGTCATATGGAAGCTCTATGTGTGTCAATAAGCACTTACATTAAATATTACGTATGATGCACTTTTTGTTTATAAAATATTAAGTATACGCCGTACTATACCAACTTATTATGTGAGGCTAGAGCATATATGGGCATTTAATAGCAATTATTAGGCAGACGTCTGACTGTAACATTTCCATCTCTCAGTCTCTCATTTTGTATATAGCAGTATTCGCTTAAAATATCACTTTTATGCAAATATTAAGTATACGTTATACCAGAACTGCTCCATTTGCCTTCCTCATATGATTTATGTAGCTGTAGTGCATTGTCATTGACTAGTTATATATGTGCAATATGATATTAATTAAAAACTTTAGGTCTATAAAATATTATAATATATAAAAAAATAGTGAGTCAACTCGATACATTTGAAAATGCTGCTATAAAGCAGAACGATATCAAATATTATATTTTTTTATTGTATTTCTTTGATTTTTATATAAATTGTGAATAAAATATGAAGTATACGCAACTCGGGAATATTCGGTATACGTAACTGTTCAGTTACGCCATAAACGCCGCTGTTTTTAACTTGCTTTTCTCTGCTTCTTCTACTCATTAAAAATATATTTTATAAATTTGCTAAAAAACTGTGAGTTTTGTTTCAATACGAATACAAATACATTGATTGTAGCTTTTAGGAAAAAGCTGCTTTTTTTAAAGGCTTACAGCTTTGACTTTAGCCAAACTGCTTGACTCGGCAATTTATTGAGCAGTTGAGTATTGTTTTCTGTTGCGCTTGGCATGACATTTTACTATAATAGAGTAAAACTTGCAAATTATGGAAATTGTTGGTCAAACTAATGTTTCTGCTCGTCCAACTTATCGTGCACTTAGTCCATTTCCAAATTTCTCGCTGTATTCAAATGAATAATTAATTTTCTATGCAACTTTAGTGTCTATACAAGTGTGCGTGTGTGTCTGTGTGCGTGTGTGAGTGTGTTAGTGGCCATTATAAATTGTGCACTCAACTGAAATATTTGCATTTTTGGGCATTTCACTCGCCCGAGCACTTAATTGATTTTTACAAGCAATAATAATGTAGATGAACACCGATTGGGTATGGCTGGGTATGGGGTATGCCTGGCTGGCAGCTACCCTAACGCCCGCTCTGTTCGCTGCCAACTGCACTGGGTATTTGCTAGTCGCAGCTGTCGGCTCGCGCCGGCTCATAAATAAATAATTTAATTAATCGAATTACATTTTTCTTCTGCAATCGACTCTCTCGACTTCGTTTACGAATCGCAGAGCCGTGAGCATAAATTATTATAATTTGGCCAATGGCAAGTGGCAAGCCAATTAACTAATTAGCTTGATTTAAATATGCCAAATTCAATTAAATGAGTCAACCATATATCAAAACAAGAGCCAACTGCACTTGGGGCCCCGCTCGCCTGCTGCTCTGCTTGAGCTGCTGTATTCATTAGGTCTTGGCTCTTGCAAGCGACGCAGCTACGGCTGAGGTCAACTGAACGAACGGGCTAACAAAATATTTATAGATTACCCAGCGCCGGACATCCGGCAGTGCGCTGCAAATGAGATATGTCTAGCCATACGGCTTGCCCCTTTGAGTGTAGGCGTATGTGTGTTTCTTAGTAGATACTAAAGGGGCATGTGTGTGAGTCAATGTGTCAGCATTAATTATCGTTCCCATTAAATACAATTGTATTGTTTACATTTAATGCAGCTGCCAATTCGATTCGATTTTAATCCCTCGCCCACTCAAATTGATCAAATTAAATAATTTAATCAGTGCCCAACACAATTATGTGTGGCATTAATTATTATTGAGAATTACATGACTTTTATTTTATAATATTATTACTTGAGCTGTGGCGTTGGGTATATACGCTGCGTATGCGTGATATGGCAGTTTGTATAATGCATATATAGATGATTGTATGGCATTTATATGTGATCTGTGCACTCCAAATGTAGAGCGCATGGCCAATTCTTAGTTTTACTCTAATGGCTTAAATATTTGGCCCCCATGATTTGTATTCAATTTTGATCTCAGCTCAAATATGTCGCCCAGAAACTGCACTGAATCTTTGGTCAAAGCCAAGATATGAAGTATGCTGGAGACCTGGGCCAACTGCATCTATTTCTCGTTTCTGAAAGTGAGGTTCCTGCAGAGGCCATTGAGAGCTGAGTGAAGGAGCAGCTAAACAAGATCACAGAGCCTGCATGAGCTTTGACACAAGTTCTATAATAGCTGCTCTGCATCATCGTCATCAGCTTCATCATAGTAAATAGATTCTTCGAGTTATAGTCGATATTCGCAGGATATTTGTGCATTGGCATCGCCTGACAGAGTTGTGGCGCCTGTTCATTGAACTATTTAAATAAATGTTTGTTAATTTGTCAACGGCGCTGGGGCAGCTTCCATTGCTGGCCAATTGAACTGCGGACGCGTTCACAATTAAATTATTTAAATAAATTGCGTCCGGCATTAGTTTATTCGAGTGTTAACAATTTAACGCCAATCCAAATTACATTAATCAGCTCCTAATTAAATTTAAGTCACTTTGCTTTTATCTCTTTGTAGCTGGTGACGTTGGGTGTTGGAACGCAGCTGCGATGCAATTTGCCAGAGATACGCATTGGTGTCTTGGCCTTAAACAGTAATCAGCTTTTACCATGCGCCCTATCCTACATTCAGCCAGAAATTCCTACATCATCGAGCTGCTCGCATCACAGTGCATAAATTTGTCACAATTATAATCTTTTCTTGACCAATTGCCTTTGGCACCCGCACACATATGCCCTGCTGCCTTGGTCAGTTTATTAACGCAATAACAGTTTATTTTCAGAAATCTGCTGACTCATTGCCTACGAAATCGCACAAGAGTGGCAAATGGCAGCAAATGCAATTTGTCATAAACTCAACTAACTCTGGCGAGCATCTTTTCACACGCATATATAGGCAGCATCTCTCTCTCTCTCTCTATAAATACACTATGTATATTGGACATTCATAATTAATGAGTGCCCTTATCGAATGTAAATAGCAAAATAAATCAAGCGCTGCTCTAATTAATCTGTGAGTCGACTTCTTGATGTTAGCATCGATGGCGACTTATTTAAATAAATTTGCCTAGAGAAAAGAAAGCTGTGCAAATATTTAATTGTGTAATAGAAGCAAATTTCGAGTTGCGAGCTGGCTTCACTATGGATTGTCTTAAATTTGTATGTAGTTAGCTAAAATATGGCATAGAAACTTAAGTTTTCTTCAGCTTCTTTAGGATATATGCGAGGGTCTGCTGACTACACTTGTGCCCCATGCCATGCCTCTATCTGCAGCTATGTATGGATGCTGAGATTGCAGCGCGTTGCAGCAGCTTTTCACAGTGGCTAACTGTGGTGCTTCGTCAGGTAAGTTGATGAAAGCACTCCATCTATTGAATAAGGCGAACGCCCTCAAAACAGCAATCGAAAGCCTCATAAGTAGCCTGCTAAACTTATGCTAAAAAATAGCAAAGTTTTTAATAAAACTATGGGATTATAGCTCAACCCACTCAGCGCTGCAAATTATATAGATTCAACTGCTGCAGAGAGTAAGCTCCATTTTCCCAGCTGCTGTCTTCATATCTAATCAAAAGCGTCTTCCAAGGTGCAGACACTTAGCTCAGTTGGACCAAACAGCGTGGGTTGCCACATTGAACAATGCTCATCTTGCATCTAGTCTGGCTAATAATGACAACTAGGTCTAGGAACTTGAGTCCATATAGAATAGAAAAAATAAAATGTTGTTCACGCCGCATCAACAGAACAGCGCGCATTTTACGTGCAACATTAAAGCAGCATACTTTCTACATCAATCGAGCTTAAGTGCTACAATTTTTTCCTATTATACTTTGCTTTAATCTTTTTAAATAAAGCTAAGTTTTGATTCCTTATCAGTTCAGCCAATATTTAAAAAAAAATATATTTTAAAAAAGGTTTGCTGCATTGCTTCATTGTCTATGCCCGCTTACAGACTTAGCCAACTAGTTAAGGCTAAGGCACTTAACTACAACAAACTCTAAATAAAAAAGGTATAATCTAAAGCTGCTTAGCTTCATTTGTGGCGCCTTTAAAACTCAACTTTTTTTGTGATTTTTTCATTGTTAGAAATTAATTGATTTTCATATTTTTGTGGCTTTGACTTATGCATGGGATTTTTATTAATTGCAAGCGCCTGGCTAAGCTTGACAGCATATTTATTGTTTGCTGTCCGCTGCAGGCACATATAAATATATATATATATATATATATATATATATATATATGTAGGTGTAATCAGGTGCAAGTTGCTGCTGAACTCACCTGAAAGCCGTCGTAGGTCCAGGAGCCGAACTTCATTTCGCAGCGCTGATCGTCGAAGGGGAACCAGGTGATGTCGATTTTGCAGGTGGACTTAAAGATGCCGGGCGGCACGTACAAGCAGCTGCCATTGTTCCGCACAACCACATTGGTGGCGTAGGTGCCATCGAAGCCCTCGTCCGCGCTGCAAGCAAAATTGCAAAGCAATGCATAAGTCAGGACTTCAAATACTCATATGAGTGACAGTGTGAGTCTGTATGGGTGTGAGAGTGTGAGTGTGTGAGTGTGTTAGAACTAAAGCGGCCACGTTGACGCTTTTAATAAGACCCTTTTTTACAGTCGAAGTCTTGCCGCGGCGCATATGGAAATTTATGTAGCATACTTTTGAGCATAAATCATTTTTGCACTGGCAGCTGCGCTCGTCGTATGAGAGCTCTTTGGCTGTGTGTGTGTGTGTGTGTGTGTGCGTCGGCCTGGCACTGATTAATGATTAATCTATAGGCAATGCGGCGCGTGAGCAGCGTTTGCTCATTTTGTACGGTTCAATTTTTACCGCTGGCAAACTTATTTAATATTTATTAATTATACCCATTCCATTGGCACGCTTTAGCGGGTATATCGCTCCAGCTGTACAGCGCCGCTGCTGGTCAAATCGTCAAATCGTCAAGTCGTCCTGCCGGCCTAATTCAGACACTGAACGTATAAAGTGTCGCAGCTGTGAATTGTTGTTCGCACTGTCATTATTTTCACAATCCCAAATTGCCCGGCCACCCGACGCCCCTGGCCCAGCTGCCGTCTCCCTTGCCTGGTCATGTCAACAGTTAAATTATGATTCATTATGCCGGCGTGCCATCTATTGTAGTCACATCATCAAAATCTCGGCCGTCTTGAGACGCAGAGACCACTTCTTCCCGCTCTGCTCACATGCAAGTAGCTATCATAAAATACTTCTCTATGTGTGTGTGTTGCTGTTGCTGTTGCTGTACAATTCGGCATTGTTTCGCCCCTTTAAGTGCGCCCCTCTTAATTGTTCCTCCTGCCGCCTTGGCCATTGTTCCAGCAAGTCATTTACTTTGTCATAAAACTTGCCCAAATACGCATTAAAATTTGTGCGTTTACTGCGCTGCCAGCTGCTCGGCTGCTCGGCCTTCTCGCTCTTTATTATTTGCCATAAAAACTGAACAAATTTAAAGACTATTCTCGCCCAGCTGCCTGACAATAGATTACAATATTTTTTAACCGGACCGCAGCTAAAAAAAAAAAAATTAAAAAATAAAATTTGGCTTAAAGCGAGTTTTTGGCCAAATTTGAAGCTGCAAAATGCATCAATCCATCTAGTCTTGACTACATCTAAAAAATACTTCAATACCTCACTTGCATTTTGCTAGCTTAATATTAGTTACAGTGGCGCCTAAACGAATTCTGTTCGAAAAGTAGCTCGCATTTTGTGTATTTTCATTGATATTGAATGTTTTTTATAGAGCTGCACAAGCTTAAATCGTAATAAAATGAAAATGTTTATTTTAAGTATCAATAAATTGAACTTTATTGAATAGAAATTACTATGACATTATTGCCTACATATAAGATATATATAAATTTATATATATATTGTGGCCTTGTCCCTGCCACAAGGCGCAATCTGTAATACAAATTTTCACATTTATTATCATTTATGATTTGGGATACTTCTAAGTAATGCCCATCACGTATTATACAATAAGGGCCAATGCCTTTCCTTTTCTTGAAGCACTTCAAATGCTTTTTTTACATCAAGGAACCTCGAATTGGTGACCCGCATGAGTGCCAATGTAACGCCAAGAGACAAATAGAAATTTGACTAGATGCAAGCCCCGAGTTCGCGCTACTTTCTGAGCACACCTCGTAGAAGCCAGCTAGCAGCTGCAGTAGCTTCTCTCTTCTGTTTGAGATTATTAATAGCAACACTCAAATCACTAAATCAACAACAACATTGTCAGGCTAAGGCTTTCGCCAGCTAGTTATTTTAATACTCGCTCACGAAGTGAAAGAGTATATTGGTTGTGGGTAATGAGTGCACGCCATTTCGCTCCTATTGAAGCTCGGGATACAAACATTTACGCACGGCTAGCCAGGTTTGATAAAATGCTTAGATTTACCTGGTGCGCCTACTAGGGGCGTGGCAAATCGAGGTATACTACATCTGGTATAGCAGGGATGAAGTGCTGGGGACTTGAAATTTTAAACGTAAACTCTCGTAGACAAAGCCATATCAAAAGGATATAGAGGACATATTACTGGCCATTGGGAGCGTGTGTCTTCCACAGCTTTACAGTTAGAAAGTCAAAATTCGAATATCGACGAAGTATTAAAATCTATACGCCTTTTGAGGGCGTGGCAAATGAAGAAACTTCTTTCTGAAGTCAATGACAGTCGAACAAACAATTAAAATTAAAAAAAAAGACGTGAAGAAAGTTGAAGTTTTGCTACAAATTGTTTTCAGTGTATTTTCACATAATTTGAACAAATTTTTAACATATTTACATATAGATAAACATATATGAAACACGCATAAACACAATTTGGGGCAAATTGGGGACCGAGCGTGGCCAGCAAAGGGATAGCGCCATCACAATAAAATTGATAACAACAAAGGAGTGGGCGGAGGCGTGGCGTGGCGAGGCGGAGGCGAGGCCGAGGCAAACAAATGGCAGCTCATAAACATGAAAAGGATTTTTCCAAAATAAACACAATTTCGTTATTATGAAAAGGGAAACGAGAAACAAAAGTTGCAAATGCAAATAAAATTATATGAATAAAGCAATAAAGCCTCTGCCACAAAGCCAATAATGATAACAACAATAATAGCAACGGGCTACAGCAATAATCGCTCGTTGTTTTTTCTTCTTCTTCTTCTTCTTTTTTTTTTTATTGCAGAATTATAAAGCAGCGTATGGGGCCATAAAAGGCGCAGCCCAATTGAATTGGCTGCCGTCTGTCAAGGTGGCATCATCAACAGCCATAACACCTGCTCAGCCCAGGTGGCAACTTGCGTCCTGTTCATCGACTCGCAATCATTTTTACTGCCTGTCCTCATTGATGTCATTATTATTATTGCCCCCGTTGCCACTTCCTGCTGATCTTGTTAGGACAATCCTTTCGCCTTTAATCAGCCGAAAAGTAAGTGAAAGCCATTCACTAAATAATACCTGCAACTTGATTTATGGCTGCAATGCGATTCGCATCTTAAATCAAAGTCGAACAATATTTAACAGGCTGAGAAAAAATCCAATTGATTTTCTTTTGAGAGCTGAAAGCAGTTGCTAGACCTCGCAATACCCGGCCGCCCATGCTGAGTGGTTTCTATTTTTAGAAACTACTTGCCTTTGGGAGAAATGTGTGCAAAATTGAAGTAATTTTTAGCATTTTGTGGTTCCAGCTCATAAAATGTTGGAAATGTGCTGAAATAATTGAGTTTTGAAATGGGAAAGGCTAGACAGGTAGCTAGGTATGTGCCTATGCTCTGCAAGATTCTGTATATGCGTCTGGCAGAATTTGTTTTTGAATAACAGATATATGCTCAATTAACTGAACTTCTATGGCACTGATGTCATGGCAGTCAAGTCTTATAGCTCTGAACTATGCTCCCTTAGCGGTTATTACTTAACCAAGAATATATATTCTGGGCCTGAGCACATCTGCTGCTGTCTGCCGCAAACAGTCTTCACTATGATTTCCAATTGAAAGTTTTGCTAACACTAAATTTCAACTTCAAATTAATATATAAAAAATGCAACAAATGTTCATTATTATATAATAATATTCAATATATAAGTCTTAATCTATTTAAGATACATCTCAATTATTTTTTATAGTCACTCACCTATTGTACATGAGCACATCGGGCTTCCACAAGCGATGAGGTGGTATACGTAAGTCTCGTACGCCTCCAAACTCACTGGAATTCCAGCGCAGATTCATATCGTTCCATTCCTATAAAAAATAAATAAAAAATTTTAATGCATTGAGATAGTAAATTGATGTGCGGCTCTTTGTTTACTTTGGCACCGGCTGGAGCGAGGGCGGTTCGCAATACCAAGCAACAAAAGGATTTCTGTCACTGACGTCCGACTTAATTAATTAGACTCCATTTGTGGCATAAATAAACCAAAAACGAAACGAAATTTTACGATGGAAACCTAATAGATTTTCTTTATGTTTTTTAAAGAGACTTAAATTGAAAATCGTAAGAAATTGTCAAAGACAATGTGTGATTGATTGATTGACCAGCTGAGAAAAGCACAGACTAACTGATCGTAGGATTGACAAAGACTCACTAAACGTTTAAGCGATTGAGTGGATTAATGACAAGCTGACTGATTGAATGATTGATAGACATGCTTGATTGAGTGAGTGTTAGACTGACTGGTTTGATTGAGGGACTTTATGATTGACTGATGGACTAAGTGTGTAGTTGAGTAACTGCTTAATAGAGAGAGTTTCTATCTGATTGATTGAACAACCCACAAAATAGCGGACTAACTGATCGGTTGATTGACGTGCACTGACTAAAGGACTTAAGAAGTGATTCGCTTACTCACTAAATGCTTGTTTGATGGACTGACAACGCAGTGATTGACAGACAACATATATGAGTGCGACAGGCTATTTTGATGGCATGCCTGGATGATTGAGCAACTGATTGAGAGAGCAATTTACCCACAGATTGAGTGGCTGACAGACGTGCACTTTGATTGATGTCTAATATATTGATTGGGACTGATTGATGAACAGGCATAATGATTGTTGCAGTGATTGACAGGCTAGACTGAGGCAGATGATTGACTGTTTGATTGATCAATTAACCTTATGTAATTAATCAAAGTTTGAACTATTCGAACTGCAATTCAAATTGTCAATTTATTCTGTGAGTTTTTAATTAACCTAAATATCAATTAGCCCTGGTCACACACACACGCACGCATAGCAATTTCTAATACACACACACACACACACCTTGCCCCATTGATCGACCATATGCATTGGGAGGAAGGTGAGTTAATCATCAATCATCGTTAAGTGCGCATTTATGACTGCGCGTGTGTGTGCTGCTGTTGGTATTGGTGTTGATGTGCCTCTACTCTTTGGCGGACAGCCAGTTACCGTAATTAAATTTGTTGCTTTTGTGACGCTTGAGGCGATTAGCGCATCGATTTGCTGCCCATTGCTAATGTGTAGAAATTGTCGTGTTTGCAGTTGATCGCTGCGATTAATCAATATAACAAGCAATTGCCATCCATTTACCTATCGCATAATTACAAATATTAATCATTCAAGCTACATACAGACGCTGCTCTGACTGCCCTCAACCGGAACGGCCGGACACGTGGCCAGCGCCACACGAACTCTGCCCAAAAGCACTATAATTAATTTGATAGCAAAACTTAAGTGCTGTCTGCGCAGCTATATATCTATTGTATATTTATTTGGACTAATATTAGCACTAATTAGTGTATATATAATTATTGTATATATAATTATTGCATATAAACTTTAAGAAATATTTGTACTGCCTTGTTTTTTTTTAGAGCTATACAAGTTTAAATTATAATAAAATAATAAAATATATTTTCAATATTATTTAAATGAGCATTACTCAATAGATTATTTATTGACATTAATGCTTCAATACGCCTTTTGTCATTTTGTTAATTTAAGTCAACAATTTTCACAATCATGTTCAGGATTGTTTCTGAAGTCATATGAACTGCATCAGCCCATACCAAGCCGTAACTTTCTGTGCATGTAATGCGGCTTCTACAAAAGCTTGTGAAATATTCTCACTATTTTAACTAAGACAATTCAGCTTATTGACGTGCCCGTTCAACCAAAAAGGGGCCTCATTATTCCGTACGCCATTAATTTGACAAGTTGCATGTTAAGTTTGACGAGCAAAGTCATTATTTCCAATAAAATATTAAATAACTTACAAATATTACTCAGACATGTAAAATGTCAAGGCAAACTGAACAAAAGACAAATCTCAGCTATTAATTAAATTATTAAGTGAAGCAGTGTTGCCTGCTCAAAGTTGTGCAACTCTAAAGAAAACACCCTCTATAAAATACAGATTCTTGGCCAATGCCAAAAAATTGTTATCAACTTTCTCCACCTGTGACTGTAGCTGGCCGTAGCTGTTTTTTAGTCCATTGTATAACTGAAAGAACTATCAATCAAATTTGTCAATAGCTTGCAGCTTCCTCTGAGCTCAATCATGCCTGCGTGTGCCTCGCTCGATTTACAGGGTATAGCGAAATCGATTTCATGCGCAATTTGATAAAATATTTGTCTAAAGTTTCAGGTGAATTCAATAAACATTTGAGATTTGGTCTATTGCAATTATTGCAAATATGCAGAAAATATTTCTGCCAAGTGCATTAAGAGCGAATTGAGTTTATTATTGATTGAAATTCGATTCAAACGTGGAGATTGGAAGTCTTTGAGGCAGTGCCTGGCTGGCTAATTATGTTGCCGCATGATTTGCCAATTAAGTGGCAAGGCCTTTGATTTGTTGCAACTGCTTTGCCAGATGCCGCGGGCCAGGTCGAGCGTGGCGAAACGACGCGGGATTGAAAGGATTTCTGCGGGCTCAGCAAATGCAAATGCGAATAGAAATTGCGCTGGGAAAATGAAAAGCGAGTGGGAAAAGCGCGTGGCAAAACGAATGTCAAGGCTGATGGCATTTGCGGCATTTACGCAATTTACGCATCTGAAGCTATTAAGCGATTTCTTTAGCTTTGTGCTCTCCCTCTGCCACTCCCCATCTAATTTTCCAAGTGCCTCTTTTTTAGCTCAAATATATATATTTTTTTCTATTTATTTTGTTTTTATTTTTGTTGTTGCCTTTTGACAAATTGCGGCAATTTCATTTGTTGCACTGAGGCCTTAGGTCGAGGCAAATTTATGGCCCGAAAGGCAACAAATCTTATGGCCAGAACTCATATGAGCCACCGAGAGACAGATAGCGGGCATTTGAGTAATGCTTCTTTTCCATATTGTTTAATACTTAAAGTTGAAAAGAATTTCGAACTTACCAATTTGAGCCAAATGTTCGTGATGAGCAGCTGATTCTTTTCGTCCTGCAATGAAAAAAGAGAGAGCATTCAATATAAGCTATGAAAATGTCAAACAACTTCAGAGTTTTCTATTTGACCAAGGCCCCGCACAGGTAGACAAATTGATGTCAACTGAGCTGGAGTCAATAGAAATTATGTGACACAGCAGCGCTGCGCCTAGGTCCTCTGCACACACACTCGAAGTTAATGGCATGCAAATGAAATTTAAACATCTTCAATTGGTATTTAACAAACATCAGGCTGTTGTCAAGGAGAGCGAGAGCGAGATAGGGCCACTCGAGATACAGAGATAGAGAGAGAGAAGTGCAAATCGAATATGATTTTGATTGAAGTCAGCTTTGCGCTTTGAGTCTTGTTTAATGTTGAACGGTTTACCGCAGACACTTGCTGACATTCGCTTTTCCAATGCAATTTTCACAGCCTTTTGAGCAATTTCAATTCATTTTGTGGGTGATAGAGAGAGTCGGAGAGTTAGAGAGAGTGACAGACAACCATAAATTAATTTATGAAATTCTTGTGTGAAAAACCTGACTGCAACTTGCTGACCAATTAAGAGCAATATTAAAAGAAATTGCAATAAATTAAAAACGCTTTCAGATTTAACATAAACTTTAACTTTATTTTAAAGCTACATCTATGCCATTATATATTATTAGCCAATCGTTGCTATGTAGAGCATTTTCTGGGTCCACCTTGCTAACATCCCCAGAATAACCTGCTCAAGATTGTGCCGCTCATGCTTAAACTTTTCAGCTGTGCTCTGATTTAGCTCAGGATGACGAGCAACTTGCTAACGACTCAAATGAGTCGAAAGTTTCAAAACACATTTTTTCAAACATATCCACTCACTTAGAAGGCCTTTAACAATTTATGCCAAAATGGCAAACATCATTAAAATTTTTAATTGCTAATTATTATTGATAAGTTAAGCAGCTGCTGAAGAAGCTGTAATTAAAATGGCTGCAGTCGAGCTTGGTCACTTTGCGCCATTGGCAGCCTTTAGTTGCATGAGAAGCGCATAGAAAGGCGCACAGATTTTAATAACCTTGATACATGCTTCGTCTTATATAAAGAAAATTTTATAAAAGTCTAATGTTGCCAGCATCAAAGAAACTTGGCTAATATATATACACACATATATATATATACCTTTATATATACCTGTATATAGAGACAGATATATTTACTCTATTTGCTGTCTGCAGCTATAGAATTGCCAAGTATTGTGCACAATTTGCCGCTTGCCTGGCTGCCATATTATTTGCTAAACACATAAATAGCTATGAAAGAAATAAACAAGCTCAAGCAAATTACTGAATTACATTGCTAATGGTATTAGCCGGGAGTGACCAAGAGAGCGAGAGTGAATTATATTTATTTTTTTATTGAATTCAATTGAATTGTGCAGCAGGCAGTGCAGAGTGCGAGTGCTTGGCTCTCGCTGCTGCTCAAGATAAAATATAATATTTGCTGAATGAATCAATATATTTCGCATTCAATGATTATCATTCAGTTATGTATACGCACCGTTAGACGCATTGATGAGCAGACACACACAGCGGCTGTCAGGGGAAGAGATGGCTGCTGTTGCTGTTGTTGTTGTTGCTCATTAAAGAACGGAAATCAAAGTAGACAATGAGCTGGCTAAATTGCACTCGAGCCGCTGGCAGCATTCGATTCATTTAGCCAAGGCCTTGTTGACATTTTCATAATCAAGCCGCGGACAGTTGGCGCTGAGTCTTTCCCGGCATCGCGCCATGATTAACATATAAATTAAAAACTGAATTCCTCAAAATGATGTGCCACTTCGTGCGCGGCATTCGAAGTTTGTTGACCAAATTGCAGCGTTTTCTGAATCTGGCTCAGATGCGAAGTCGAAATTTTCTTCCTTTTTTTTTTGGTAACACTGTCTGACCTTTTGGCTTATTAGATACTGCTGCTGCTGCTGCTGCGGCTGTTTGTGACCAAACGAGGGCATTTTGTGGCCAGAAGCCAATTTGTAAGTGGCAACAACAGAAATCGACAAGCAGGCAAATGCCAACTCCGCCCGCCGCCCGTCGCCCGCTGCCAAATCCTCAGTTTAGGTGACGAATGTGTGCTTGCGGTTTGTTAAATGGCAAACTAAAAGCGCTCGCCCAAAAACAGGAAATCAAACCCAACAACAACAACAACAACAACAGCCACAGCAACAACGTTGCTGCTTAAAGGCGGAAGTATGCGTGGCCCCCAGAGCATGAGTAGGAAATTGTACAAGATCTGTTATAAATTGTAAAAAGGTTTCTCAGTCCCAAGCACAACAGCAGACACACACACACACGCACACACACTCACACGCACACCCTAACAACCGCAATAGCAAAGCAAATTGGCATTTGGATGAGGTGAATCCTGAAATGTGCAACTCACAATCAAAGCAAAGGCTGAAATTGTGTGTGTGTGTGTGTGTGTGTGAGTGTGTGTGTGTGTGTGTGTGTGCTCGTTAAATTTGCCTGTGTCTACAGTTTGCTTTAACTATCTGAGAGCTAACTCTAATTATAATTTAAGTTGCAGTCCGTTTCATACTCTCGCTTCAGTTCGAGCTGACCCAAAATTTGCTTGGCTAAGTCCGTAAATTAATGATATTTCCTTATGGAATCAATCTCTGCGGCAGGCCAATAGTATTTGCCTTGTACAACTTTTGGCACTACAGCAGTGAAACTTTAAAAGAAGCGTAGATTGATTGCCATAGCAGCGCTGCGCAGTGGTACGGGTAGCTGCAAGTCGGGCGTTGCCGCTCTTCCATTTGAAAAGAGAGAGATGGACGTAGAAGGAACATCAAGAGTGTTAGAAAGAGAGAAGGAGAGAAAGGCAAATACTTTTAGGGAGATAGCGAAGCAGATGAGAGATCGTAAGAGAGAGACAAAGAGAGAGAAAGCTAGAGAAAGAGAGCGAGCAAGTGACAGATAGAGGGAAATAGATATAGAAATAATGAGAAATAATGAAATAATGAGCTGAAGTAGAGAGATTGGAGACAGAAAGAGACAGATAGAATATATCTTAATCTGAGTCAATCACAATCGACGTATGACACTTGCTTGAAGAGTAGCTGCCTGTCTCTGATGCACTTGATGTCATTAAGTCAATGCTTGAAGATATTTGATAGCACTTTGTGCGCAGACAATTGAAGTATTTAGGTCGAGCTGTGTTGCATGCAACAAGAGCAACTGAAACGACTGCAACATGAAAATAATCATTGCAAATTGTCATTACAGCATGTGTCTGTGTCCCTTACGTTTAATTATGATTGTTGCATTTCTCTCATGAGTTTTGACTCTGATTTTACAACGATTATCGATACATTTGGCTCGTTCTGCTTTTCTTTTTTTTTTTGTGTCAACGTTGTAATAAATGGCAAGTCATTTGTCATGTATATGCGAATTACATGTTGTATTCGTCATCAAACACGAGCCAAACATAGACCTGCTCCTGCCCTCCGCCTCTCCCGCTCATCTCATAAATCATCCACACATTATAATCAACGTAAAATTTGTTTGCCTTTTGCCAGTCACATTTCTCATTCACACACACACACACAATAAGTATTTCCTATTATTGAATATGGAGCATTTAGTCATAAGTGCAAAAAGTGTCAGCTAAGCAGTTGTCAATCGATGTCAAGCGCATTGAATACGATCTGAAATAATTGGATTTGAATGGGTTTGATTTATATACATAAATAATCAAAGATTATGCAATTACTCTCACAATTTCAATCTAGCTTTTATTTTAAGGCCTCTACATACTATAGTCAATCAGCCAATCAATCACAACCACCTACAGTCCTATATATATTTCGATTACCAACTTCTTATTTTAAGCTTTAAGCTCTAAGGGCTTGGTCTGCTCGGTACATCATGAATCAATCATGGGATAGATATTTTCGTCATTTTATATTTTATTTTTACTTTACAATGCAGCTCAATCATTAAAGTCTGGCCGGTTTCATATATATGTCAATCAGTCAATCATCCACCGCAGACATAGTTCTATGTGTCTGTTTTTTATTGCTTTACAATACTTGTAACAATTCACAGAATATGTCTTCTACAATTTTATCTGCTAGCTCAATCATCAATCAATCATCAATCAATCAATCAAGCAAAGCTTGTCGTACTATATAGTTTTATATAAATTTATAAATTATATTTATTGCTAAATATAAATTCATTTATATCTTACAGTGTACACCCAATTCTCTATAAGTTTAACCATGTCTCTAGCTGCCCGTACTTAACCTACTAGCTCCATCATCAATCAATCAATCATTCCATAGCCTTCTCTATATATATATATTTGAATTAAATATTTATTCGAGAAGCTTATCTCTAGCAACCATTGCTTGGCCTGATAGCAGGATCATCAATCAACGTCAATCAATCATCGAAAACTTTTTTCACACTTATGCTCGGCTTACTCAATTAATGAGTGCAATGAATATTCGACTATTTGAATTAATTCATGAACGACATTTGTTTACTCAATTTATTTGCTGCTGACGAATGTCCGCGGAATCACACGATTTCATCGATGCATGCGTATTTCTGTGTTGTTTTATTGTTTTGCTCCTCGAGCGGCAACAAAGTCGTCATGAATTATTTAAAATGCTCGATGAGCCGAGGACTTTTTCACGCAGTCCTAATATATGCATATATATATATATATATATATATATGTATGCATATACTTTTTAAACCGACCTCGTTTTTATACACATTATTTTTAATCATTGAGCTTAAATCTCTGTGCATGAAATGCGAATAATAATGCAATATTGCATTGTTTTTTTTTATAATTCGAGACACAATTTGTTGATATATTTAAATATTTACATCAGCAAATAGTATTTAAGGTACTTATGAAAGGATTGCAGGCGCTGCAGCCCGTTAATAAGCCTAACGAATCCGATTGCCGTAGCAGCTTTGGCCTTGCCGCCGGACAAGCGGGCACGACTTGGTCAGCAAAAA